CCACTAGAAAATTTCTGCAAAGTGCTAAGATACAAAATTAACATTAAAATTTTGTTCATATGGGTGTTTAGTCTACCTGCGAGATATAAGAGCTTCACCAGCTATGTACTTCTGACAGAGGAATTTGTCTGCAATGTATTCTACCAAAAAAATAATAAACATGAAGAAATCAAACAACCTGGTGAAAAGATGGGCTGTGGATTGGCATAGAGTCCTCAAAAGAAGAAATCCAAATGACCAATGAATATTTCTTTTAAGGTTATAGGGAAATGCAAAACAAAACTACTTTGAGGTCCCATCTGAACCCAGTCATAATGACTATCATCAAGAAAACAAATGATGCCAAATGCTGGTGAGGGTGTGTAGGAGGATGAAGCCTTATCACTGCAGGTGGGAGTGCACACTAATGCAGCCAGTGGAGAAATCCCAGAAGAAAAATCCTCAAGGAGCTAAACACAGAGCAACTGTATGATCACAGCTCTCCCACTCCTGGGCCAACAGGCAAAGGCTTCCATGTCACTGCTGCTGTTCAACAGGTGGGAAACGGATTCAACCCACGTGTTTTTGTCCACTGATATATAAACAATAAAAGTATAGTACATAGTCACAAAAGAATTTTATCAGGCTGTAAAGCAAAATGAAAAAAATAAAATTTCAGGAATAAGTGGGGTGACCAAAGCACAGAACGGCAAATGTCACCTGTCATCTCTTATACGCACATCTACTTAGACTGTGAGTTCAGCTTGTCTGCACAAGTTAAAAAGCTAAAAGAGGAGCAATTAGAGAAGGGATAGGAAGAGGACTTAAGTAGGGGAAGCGATAGTACAGCGTATGTGATTTGAACATAGTGGGGGGATACTGGGAGGGAAAGGCCTGTGTGGGAATGGAACTGAGGGATGAGACATGAGGAGGTGAGGGGAAAAGCTAAAACAAAGAAGCCAGACAGAAGCTACTATTTCATAAAGTAGCTAAAAATAATAATTAAAGTAAAAAAAGAGTTTGAAGAAAGGTACCCTGTATGAATAGATAATGTTATTCCCAGAAACCAAGGTTATTAAAGAGTAACCCCAGTAACAGGGCATGGAATACTTCCTTCTAAGCTGTTGGTCAAGGAGGTTCCAAAGAACCGTTCCACCCCAAACAATTCATACTGTCATCACTACTGTTGGCTGCCCAGAAAAACACATGGTAAGTCCTGAAAACATATTTACACTTTGGTTGCAGAATATAGAGCTATTAAGCTGGAAGTTACTGGAACTTCTTCCTTTCTGGCTACCTTTTAAAGTGCTAGAAGATACAATGTAGTCACTGGAAGAAAAAAAAATCCACATTTTTACACATCTGTGAACCTTCACACTACAGTATCAACCTACCAGTCAAGACATACTTGCTGGTGCAATAAGTGGCATGACTCTTATGGAGAGGTGAACAATGACTTTCTAATTGTATTTGAGGCCTGCTCTATAAGCAGAATTCACATCTGATACTGTAAACTGGCCAAAAGTGCATGGCTGGGCAGGTCATGGGTGCTGAAGGAGAACCTACTTTGCTAGATGGACTACTGCCTACAATAAGTGCTGATCACAGGCTTGGTGAGAGAAGCTTCTGTTTGCAGTGGGTAACAATCAATGCAGAAACTCATAACTGGTCAAATAAGTGGCTGTTGAATTCTCAGCCCTAAATGGCCATCTATATTTCCTCCTTCAAAGCTCACAGAACATCATGCAAAGAGCAACAGAAAGAATGTTAAGAGCCAGAGACAGACAGGAATGGTATGAGCCACTATCTTCTGGACATGACAGGCATGGCTTTTGGACCCAGGAACTCAATGCAGCAATGGATACTTGAACAAGCCTATAAGACTGGGCTCATCAACATTTTATCACAGATGATAGAGGAGCTAGTGAGACCCTACTTCTCTCTGAGCAACTACTGGATGTTAATAGTTGCTTGGAGAGGGTGAGTCATATTCCTGTCACCCAGTCACTGGTTTCTCTTGCTCAGGAAATAACCTCCAAGACACTCACTCAAGGAACTTTTTAGAAAGAAAAGTTCACTGGGAACAGGAAAGAGTGAGAGAGGATAGTGAAAATAGTATGAGCAAAGTGCATTGCATACATGCAAGGTTTTCCCAATGAAACCCTCGAGCAATCCAGATTATTGCCAAGGCTATTGGTTTCTCTCCACAATCTGAAGAGGCCCTATAGTTGAAGATAACACCTATATAACTCACTTAGAAAAGTCAAGCTGGTGCCTATCTAGAGCTTTCACCCCACTGATTAATGTTCATGGTACTGGAAAATACTCTGCACACTATCAGAGGACAAAGGTAAACACCAACTCAGCTACTCACTTGGATCTACAGTGGTGACCTGCCATAGTAGCACAAAAGTTGTGGGAATAACCAATCACTATCTAATTCGAATTAAGGTCCATTCCATGAGATGAAACCCATGCTTGACATTGCCTGGGTAGCCAAGAACCTGAGACAAGACAGGCCACAGATCTAGGAGAAAACCAAATACTACTCTTTTGCTAAAGAAACATGACTCCTAACAACATTGCTTATCTATGCTATACTCATAGACCAGTATCTTGCTCTGCCGTTGTCAAAGCAGCTTCCCCCTGTGGTAGATGAGAACAAACAGAGACCCACAACTAGAAAATGTGCTAGCTGTGCTAGACAATTTTCAAATTATTACACAAAAATGCTTAAACTTCAAACACCTCTCAGGGGTTGGAGAGATGGCTCAGCAGTGAAGAGCACAAGGTCTCTCTCTAGTGAAAAACCTTGGAATACTCAGTCCTGAATGAGATTTCTCCATCAAATCCCTCTTCTCACGGCTCAGAGAACCCTACAGAAGAGGAATTAGGAAGGTTGTGAGAGCCAGTAGGGATGAAAGATATCAAGGAAACAAAGCTTTCTAGGGACAATGGGACTGACTAGTGCATATAAATTCAGAAACTGTGGCAGCGCAGCATGCACAAAGCCTGTATAAGTCTAAGCCAGATGGAATCCAAGTGTTGTAGGGAAGTAGACACAAGCCTCCATTCTAGCCCCAAAGCTAGCTCCAACTGATAATCGGTCCCAAAGGAAAAATTAGTTTTCTTTGATGGTGTCCTGCTGGGGACACAAACCACACTTAAGGACAGGTCCCATGCCCAGCCATGGAGGGTCAACACAAAACGACCCCAGTGGTAGTTTTGGAGAATTTGTATGTGTCACAGTGTTTTGTCTGAGCTTCTATTTTTTCCCCCACACATCTTTTGCTTATATATTATTGATTTTATGGGATTTCTGTCTACAAATATATATGTTTCAGCATCTATATGTGCTTTTTTTGTGTTTTGTGTTTCTTTGACTTTTTTCTGTTTTGTCATTTTGATTTATACTTAACTTATTTCATTTCTCATTATTAAAATTTTAGATTCCTGTTTACATGAGAAAAAGAAAGGGACTTAGATAGAAGAGGAAGTGGGACCAGGGAAGAGTTGGAAGAAGGAAGATCATAATCAGAATATAACATATGAAGAAAAAAGTTTTCAATAAAAATAGTGTGCTGCTGACATCATTAGGAAATGCAATGCATGCTAGCATTTATTACTGGGGAGCATACTACTAAAATAAATATAATAGCCCAAAGGAGATACAGGGAAGGAGCTGATAAAGAAAATTATATTGCATTTTTATAAAAGGAACAATAATATATAGTTTTAATTTTAAGATTAGGATCCACAGGTTCATTCATTTACTTGCCTGGTTAATTCATAATGTCTATTATTCTAAAATGAGAAACAAACATTTTTCAAATTACTCTAGGAAAACAAAATCCTTAAATTGAAAGAAAATTCTCAAGGGCTGGAGAGATGGCTCAGCAGTTAACAGCACTGGCTGCTCTTGCAGAGGACCCTGCTTCAATTCCTAGCACCCACACAGCACCTCACAACTGTCTCTATGCTGACTGCAGCGACTCGGAAACCCTCTTCTAGCCTCTGCAAGCACAAGCATGCATGTGGTGCACAGAAGAACATGCAGGTACAACACCTGTACACAAAAATATTTTGAAAAATTAAAAAACAAAGTGGCAAAATGATAGAGGGAAAAATAAAGAAGAAAGGCCTGGAAATTGTGTAGGTGAAGCTAAGTATGTCAGCTATCAGGACAGAGACGGTCTTACAGTTGTATGTTTATTTACATAGGTATGTAAGCATGAAGGTGGCGGCATGTACATGTAACGGTGCAGGCGAAGATGGGAGCCAGAAGTCACCGGCAGCTGTCTTTCTCAGCTCTGACTGCACCTGGAGCTTGCTGGTCTGGCAAGGTCTCCTCAGCACTGAGATTTCAGACACAGGCTCTGTGCTTCTGAAGAATGAACCCAGGTCATTATACTTGTGTGGCACGCACCCGAGTGACAGAGCCATTGCCCCAGCACTGCATATAGCTACTAAAAAGCAAATGTTATATGGCTAAATTTAAAAAATGATATCTATGAGAGATGTACTTAAATAGAGATGGGTTAAAAAATGAAAAACTAAATGTGACAAGTGACTGAGACACACGTTACAACACCAACACTAGACAAGACTTCAAGGCAGAATGTATAAAATGAAGCCAAAGGAGACACATTAGGATGAGGTTACAAGACTGTTTTTTGGACCAAATACTTGAGGATTTAAATCCTTTATCTTTAATAGCTTAACTACACAAAGAATAAGAATATAAATAGGATAATTTCCGGAAAATTAACAAAACTATATCAACTGTTTTAATTAGAAAGAAAAACCTTCAGTAGAATGGTTTTTGAGAACTCAAACCACAGGAGCACCAATCTCATTTGAATCTGATTAGAAGAGAGCAAGGTGGGAAGCACATGTGAAACCTACTCTCTTAAATCCACGTGAGCTAATGAAGTCAAACCTTGATTGGAAATCAAGTTAGAATCTAATTAGTAACAAATTAGAAAATAAACATCAGCTCAGTGCTAGCTCACACAGCCCACCTGTAATTTTTGCCGCCTTTTCCTCTTGGTTCACTCGGTTCTCATCGTCATCCTCATTATCTTCTTCGAAATCGTCTAAATTGCCAATGTCAGCCTGCTTCATACTCATCAAACTAGCCAAGCTCTGCATATCTTCATCCCTATATGAAATTAGTCAGAATGTAATATACAGCTTATTAAATGACATTACTTGAAAAATAATTAGAAAATACATGTTAACATTCCTAATCTGAAAATTTTTAAATTTAAAACACTCCAAAATCTAAAGCACTCTGAAACCCCAAGCTTTCCATACTGATAAGGTGTCACAGTGTGGAAAACTTCATACATGACATGTGACAGGCTGCAGTCAAAGCTCAGGTGTGCTAGAAACACTGGAGAAACTCCTTAGGCCACATATGTAAGGTAAGTATGAAATGTAAATGTTACTGTACTGAGACTTGGATCCCCTTGCTAAGATATCCTTATGTGTATGAAAATACCTCAAAACCTGGAAAAAACTGAAATCTGAAAACTTTCAGAACTAAGGATTTTAGATAATGGATATACAATACATAATATTATTAACATAGTCTTCCTTTCTGTAAAATGAGTACACTTTTCAAGGTATGTAAGAATATTTTTTAAACTAAGAATTTTAAACATCTCATAACTTTTTTTGGATATTTTATTTACTTTTCAGATATTATCCCCTTACTCCATTTTGCCTCACCCCCCACCCAGGGACCCCCTATCCCATCCCCCCTCCTCCTGCTTCTATGAGGATGTGCCTCCACCTACTTCCTCACTCCCACTTCCCTACCCTCAAATTCCCCCACACATGGCATCCAGCCTTCATGAGACCAAGGATCTCCTCTCCTATCTACGTCTGACAGGGCCATCCTCCCTTACATATACAGCTGGAGCCATGGGTTCCTCCCTAAGTGCTCCAGGCTGGTGGTTTAGACCCTGGGAGCTCTGGTTGGTTGGTATTGTTGCTCTCCTCACGGGGCCACAAACCCTTTCAGCTCAGTCTTCACTCTAACTCCTCCATCAGGAACCCCTTGATCAGTTCAATGGTTCATTAGCGCAGTAGGTAGCCCGTCAGTCTCATAATCTCATAACTTTCTTAGTGGCATGTTCAAAGCATCAAGACTAAACTCTTAACTGGTAAGATTTAGCAGGTACTTATGTTAGTGCCCTGCAGAAGACAAATGGTTTCTGTAGAGAATTCAAGTACAGTTTCTTGAGCATTAAGTCTAGAAACAAAACCTTGTATTATGAAACAAAAGGATAGCCCACAAGTTAGATAAATCTCAACTTCAGAATAAAACTTGGAGCTGGACAGATGGCTTAGAGGTTAAGAGCACTAGCTGCTCTTCAGACAACCCAGGCTCAATTCCGAGCACCCACATGGCAGCTCACTACCGTCTGTAACTACAGTCCTAAAGGATCCAAACGCCCTCTTCTGACCTTTGAAAGTATCAGGCATATCCATAGTGCACAGACATATATGCAGGCAAACACACACACATGAAAGAATAAAAGACATTTAAAAAACTAAAATAAAACAACTTACAAAAGGGATTGGAACAGGAATTCTTAATTGGAAACCATGAACCATTGTGGATCTGTGGGCTGGAAGGAATCAAGTGGTAAACTCCCCAAACCATGCTTACTGCCATGCGCAAGTTCCCCGTGAGCCCCAGGCCCTACAGGGAACAAGTACAACTGAAACAGACATTCCATGGCAAGCTCTGGTCTTCTCAAGATACACAGATGAAACCCTTAGCTAATTATAAGTGAAATGATATATATGTGATAGGATATAAATTTTATCTCAAAATATTTAAAAATATAAATTTATGAAGTTTATATTAAATATCTTGAGACAAATCATTTGTTTTTCTGATCTGTTACTTTTACCTTACATCTCACTAAATAGAACATTTTAATGTTGTACAAATTTTCAATTTTGTATACTCCCTCTAAATTCAGACAGAAAAAATAAATTAAAATACTGTTCTTTTATAATCTTTATTAATTTGATTTTCTACATATGATATAACTTTGCAAACTAAGTTAATTATAGAAATTCTTCACATTTTATTTCGCTGTTAACGAAATTATTTCCCTCTTTTTAAACAAATTTCATGATAGTCTACAAGAACAACAAAGGTTGTATTACTTCATCTATGAGTGTCTTCCAAATTCTCAGTTGTCAGTAAAGGATAGTAAGGCCAGCCAAGGTACAACAGCTGTAATCTTAACCCCTGGGAGGTAACGGCAAGGGAGAGCATAGAATAAGCTCAAGACCAGTGTGGTTCACATAGCAAGTTCCAGGCCAACCAAAGCCAAACAACTAGACTCTATTCTTAGAAAATAAAATCAAATAAATCAAGAGTAATGATAATGATAGTAATGATAACACAGACATATGTTCAAACAACTCATTCTTCAGATGTAACCTGCTGAACTTTGTCCTTAAATGTCCTCACATTTTAAAGCTCAACACTGTTCCACGGGGATAGTAAGGAAGGGGAGATAAAGGGAGCTCTAAAGAATCCTCTTCATATTAAATTGAGACTCTTGGTTTAAATGAACTGTTTCTTACCCAGACAGCCTTGAGTGGTGCCATCCACTGACTGCTTCTGTCACTGGAAGGAATGCTACCCTCGGAGGATCTCTGGTTTCTTCTCTCTCTTCCTCCATTTCCTTTCCTCTGGCTCACACTTCAGGGCAAGATCTATTTTTTCCCCAGTGTTTACAGTTGAGAAGAAAGCCACCGAGCTAGCACACTCACTCGGAACACACCCTCCCTCGTCTAACTGCTGCCATTTACCATGTCACTCATTGCCCTGGAGACGAGGGCCAAACATCTCACTTTGAGTGATACACAGAAACCAGCCTTATCAGTCAAACAGATGTGACCAATTATAGTAGCCACACTCCACTGGGCTAACTATGTGCAGAACTGTGGTTCACACTGGACCATCTTTCTCCCTTGTCTTTACTAGGAAATCCTCAGCATAGCATTTCCATTCATCCTCCAAGTACAGGTTCTTGCATTGCATGGATCACGTGTACTTATTACTGACTTGATTATCTGCAATGACTGCTTATTCAGCTCTTAAGAAGTGATGCTTCTGGTTTGGTTTTGCTTTTTGAAAAAGGCATTGTGCTGGTTACTTTTTGTCAACTTGACACAAGCCACAGTCACTCGAGAAAGAGAGACCTCTGCCGAGGAACTGTCTCCATCAGACTGGCTAGTAGGCATGGCTGTGGGGCATTTTCTTGATTAATGATTGATGTGGAAGAGCCCAGCTCCTGTGGGTGGTGCCACTTCCAAGCAAGTGGGCCTGAGTTGTATAATAAGAAAGTAGGCTGAGAGGCTCTACCAGCACCTGACTGAGACAGATGCAGATATTCACAGCCAACAATTAGACTGAGCCTGGGGACCCCAATGGAAGAGTTAGGAGAAGGGCTGAAGGGGCTGAACAGGCTTGCAACCACACAGGAAGAACATCATCATCAACTAACCAGACCCCTCAGCACTCCCAGAGACTAAACCACCAACCAAAGAACATACATGAGTGGGTCCATGGCTCTTACTACATATGCAGCAGAGGACTTCCTTGTCTGGCCTCAATGGGAGGGGAGGCCCTTGGTCCTGTGGAGGCTTGATGTGCTAGAAAAGAGGGATGCTAGAGGGGTGAGGTGGGAGTGGGTGGAAGGGAAGAGCACCCTCTTAGAGGTGATGGAGAGCAGGGAGGGGGGGCTTGTGGAGGGCAGACTGGTAAGGAGGACATTTGAAATATAAAGAAATAAAAGAATTAATACTAGTAAAAAAGAAAGTTAGATAGAAGGCTGAGAAGGTCAAGAAGAGCAAACCCAGGTGCTCTATTTCTCCATAGCTTCTGCTTCAATTCCTGCCTTTGTAAGCTCATGCCTGGCTTCACTTGAATGATGGCCTGGAACCTGTGTCCTAATCAACCCTTTCCTCCTGAAAGCTGATTTGGGCCAGTGTTGTACCATACCAACAGAGACACAAATGGCAGCCGGTGGTGCCCAGGCGGCTCTCAAATGTTCCTGCCTTGAGTGCTGGGAAAGAGGGTGCACATCACTAGGTCCAACTCATACTGATTTTGAAATGGTAACAGTTACACTTTTATGTTATTGTCACTCTGGGGAATCAAGACAGGATTTTTAAATAACAAGTGCATTCATCCTCTGAAAACAAAGTAGAGATCTCGAGAAGAGCTGTCGTGCTGCAGGATGTTCGCTCTACACCCATCCACTAAGACAAGAGCTGCGCTGTTTAGAAGCCCAACGTGGAGGGAGTCACTTACGTTGCTTTTCCTTCCCGAAGGAAGATGCATGACAATGAGAACTGGAGGGTAGCAGACACAACTTTCTTAGACAGTGGCTTGAACTTCAACTTGACGTCAGTTTGTGTGGGCATGGGGCTTGCGTACTGCTTCATATTAATGTTGCTGGTGGCAAGAGCTTTCCTCCGACCAGAAGGGGATTCCTGGAAGATAAAAAATAATTATGTAGTTTGGAATTATTTTATAGCCAATAAAAAAGAAATAAGAACTTCCTTCACTAAAGACTTCTTGTAATGCAATAATAAAATTATGATGAGCTTTTATTACAGCTTTTATATCTAAGTAAAACAGATAAAAATAAATAAAACAGAAAGAGATGGCCCAGGCAAAAATATTCATACTAGAGGAAAATGTGAAACAGAAACTAGTGAATAGCATGCGTGGATCTCACACCTGTAACCCCTGCACTAGGGTAGGTTCAGGTCCAAGGATCCAGAATTCACAGCTAGCCTCAACTATATAAGACCCTGCCTCTGGAAAACTGGGAATGGCTCCAAGATTCGTGTGAGTAAAAGATCTATTATAGGCAGGGCACCATAAATAATCTTTAACTGCTTTTTTCTCTTTGATTAAATAAATGTAATCAAATGGTGTTTTCCTGCTGAACCTATAATTTTTTTCTAGGACCTTTTTTGCTTATTCTCGTCCTCCCTCCTTTCCTTGAGATCACATACATCAATGAAGAAAACGTTTCTCAGAACTCACGGCCATGGCAACACTGCTGACTGAGCCCAGAGCATCTAAAAACATTCTTTAAAACAGCTAGTGCCCATTCATCACAACTATACAAAAAGAAGACTGCTTACAATCAAAAGTACTTGATATTCCATTAACAATTCTTTGTGTTTCACAACTGCTTCCTATACAATAAGGGGCTAGGGGGCTGATGAGAACAGGGCAGTGCATAACTGGGCACTAACCATGTGTAGGATTCCATGTACATTCTGGAGACATGAAAACATATAAGATAATCTTTCATTGTGTTCTACTGGCAAGAGGAAATTCAGATATAGGCTAATTTACATAATGTAAACTAAGATCATACATATACTACCCATGATTTTTTGAGGTTAACTGATCTTGGAATTGAAGGTAACTTTAAGGCTTAATGTCCAAACCATGTGTTCTTGAGCAAGTCAAGAAACTTCTGCCTCAGTAATGGTTCCAATAAAATAAAAAGTTACTAAGCAAAGTCATTCATGTTTTGTAATTATTTTCTACAAAATTATTCAATTTTCCAACCACGGTAAGAAATTTTATCATGGATAACTTTGTATAACTGTTCAATAAATCTTGATTCGTCCTATGTGAGGTAAATTCGCCTAAAGTAAGGCTATCCTACTTGAATCAAAGCATTACAAGACTTTTTCAAAAACCTAACATTTCAGCCTAACAAATAAGTAAAATATAATGTCACCTCCCTAAAGAATACCTATTTTAAAATGTGGTCTTATCTGTCAGATTATGCACAGCAATATTATACAGAACTATTAGTGCATGCAGATACCTTATGAATGAATTTCAAAAATGCATCGAGCACTTGAGAAGTTAAGCCCTCTCAGAAGAAATACTTAAGAATATGCAAATACCCTCAACCGAATCAAGTTGAACAGATGTGACTATCCCTAACAATACAAGTGTTCTTTCCCTGGTCGCTACTGTCAATCAAAGGATAAGATTAAGGTCCAAGGTTCTGACAATGTGCAAAATGAAAAAGTACAGTTGGAGAATATCAATTTATTACACTGATATGAACAATAATCTCTTATTGTACCTTTAGAATAGCTAACAACTTCTACATATAATACAAAATGTAAAGCCCCAGGTTGAAAAGCATGACATACAAACTGTCACTTTATTATTTTCAATGCTTGTTCTGTTTCACAAAAGCATGACATTGATCCCTAATATAACAATTTAATTTTGTAATAAACTATGAAATTAATATAGCTTAGAAATTCTATAATTCTAAAAAGCTATATGTGAAGATACTGCTTTTAAGCTATAGAGTTTTTTTTTAATGATTGATATTCTATCAATGTCACTGTTTTATTTTTAAAGCAAACAAGACATGGAAAAGTTTTTCTACTGAGGTAATTGGCAGTGAGTGGCTCTGAAGCAATAGGAAATACAGTATACTATGTTCTAAACACATTCTGTCACAACACTTAAGCAAAACTCTTGAATACTGTTCAATAAAAAACAACTAAAAGAGCTTACACAAAATAAATGAACAGAGACCTTGATCCCACTTCCTCACATCCTACAGCTGGGCCCAGGGGACCGCCAGTCCTCAGCCAGTCACATACTACCATCCCTCCCTCAACTCTTTATTCCTTTCTCGTCCTGGCTTGTGTCCCTCCCCCCAGTTAGGTCATCATGATCTAGATGATCTAAAATCACATTTTCAGATCCCTAAGGAAGTTCAATAAAATGATCATTAAGTTCTCAGTCTCGCTTTCATAACTTTTCTCAATTTATTGAAGGCTGATATATTGCCATTTCTAACAAATGCAACTTATAGTTGAAATCAGAATGTGGCAGGAGGACTTATTTCTGTAACTAAGTTTCAGTCTCACTTTCTCTATTGACAAATCTTCCTAATGGGTGAACAAGAGCAAGCATGGCGTAGAACCATTTGCACTGCTGTTGACTGTTTCCACTGTAGAGCCTCCTAGGGAACAAGTATCCATTGCCTTCTAAAGTTGAATTCATGCACATCTTATGACTGAGCAGTTCTTGTCAGAAAACTAAGATGTTAGAAATTAAGTCCTAGAAAAATCTTCATGACAAAGATGACAGGTTAGAAGCCATCTCTGTATGTTACATGGCTGATGAGAAGAGTCAAAGAAAACAAGAATAAACTATTTCAAAGATAGACAGGAGGGTAGAATATCACAAACTGCAATAGGAAAGAAACAAAACAAAACAAAACAGAAAGGTGATGCCTTGGAAAGAAGGAAGGACCGTGTGGCTTTGCTGCAGGCTGAGAGGAAACAAGAGGTCCATCCAAAAGTTGTCTGTGTTCTGTTCTCAGAGAGATATTGGTGACTGAGCTTATAGAAACAGGCAGTGACTTCAAAGATGATAGACACAAGCAATTAAAGAAAGCCGCTCAGGACATAAATAAGTCTGTAACACAGCTGAGAAAGCAAGAAAACAATTTTGGAGGGAAAGACAGAAAATGATTAAAAACACCGGAAATGAACAAATTCAAATGAAAACACAGTCCAGAGCACCACCAGTAGACCTGTCCAAGCAAGAGGAAAAAAGGGGGAGAGGAATCAAAATGGACAAGATCAGGAAATACTGTCAGGCATTAATACTGAAAAATATTAGCACAACTCTAGGACAGAACTAAAGAACAAACCCAAGAATCTGTGGAGTAGAAGAGAGTGGAGATAAAAACTGAAAGCATAGAAAAATTATTCAATAAAATTACAGCAGAAAAAATAAGGGAAATAAATGGACAGGCACAAGGCACTTAAACCCCAACAGACAACACCAGAGATCTTTCCATTGCACGCTATATTTAAGATATCAAAACTATGAAGCCAAAAGGAGAGACAATACTAGAACCTGTAAGAGAAATACACCAACTCACATCACAGTGACACCACACCTCCAAGAGACGTTCTCAGAGCTGGAAAAGGATGGGGCAGCATATTTAAAACCCCCAAAGCCAAGGGCTGTCCACTAAGATGATTATACAAAATTAACTTTTAAAATTGACAGAGAAAGGTATTCCAAAGAAATATCAACTAAAGAAAGTCATGCTCACCAAACTAGCACTGCAGAAGCTACTTAAAAGGAATCCTAAACACAGAGGAGGGAGACAGTCTCCATCACACAGGAAGAGGGAAGAATGAACTCATAACGGGAGTAGATGAAAGAGATGAACTGGAAAAACCCAATCTTGTCTAACTCATAAAATCAGCAAATCTACTCACCTGAATAGAGGAGAGAAAAACAAAAATAAAACAAAACTAGTCTAACCAGCTAGGAAAAGAGCCAACAAAATTATAGGAATCTGCAAATCAAGAATAAATTTCAATGGAAGCAGCCTTAACTCTAGAATTAAAAGATACAATAGCTGATTCTATTAAACAACAACAACAACAACAAAAAGGATTCTGCTATTTGTTGTCTCCAAGAAGCATGCTTCATTGACAAAGACATATAAAAGTATGAACAGATAAAATCAATATACTTAAAGTAAAAGGAAGCCAAAACCAAACCAGCACAGATACTCTGTGCTACATAATAAGGTAGACATCCTGCCTGATAAGATAAAAGAGACCATGGCATACTAATAAAGGGAACAATCTGCCATGAGGGTATGACCACTCTAAATATATATGTACCAAATACTGGAGCTCCAATATCCCACTTTTGTTTTTTGCAGGTCATGCAGATTCACAAAACAAGTTTCAGGAGCTAAATCCAAGGTCCTGAGTTTGATTCTCAGAACTGCAAAAAACTGAGCATGGTCGGATATGCCTGATCTCCCAGTGCAGGGGATACAGAGACAAGAGGACCCCTGGGGTTCGCTGACCACCCAGCCTAGCTAAACTGATGAGTTCCAAGTTCATTAAGAGGTTTGTCTCAAAAGATAGGTAGACATTAATTGAGGAAGACACTTGATACTAACCTCTGGCACACACACATACATGTACCACACAAAGCCAACAAATTTCAGAGTTAATATAGACCACACAACAAATATATTTATCAGACACATACAGAATAATTATCTAATGAGAGGTGTACTTTCTCCAAAATATGTCATGTTTAGGCCACAAACCAAGTCTTTTGTATCTTACCACAGTAGAATCAATAGCAAAAGAAACCACAGAAATTATACAAATAATGGGAAATGGAATACTCAATTCTGAATGAATAGTAAGACAAAAAAGAAATCAGGGAAGAATTTTTAGAATTTCTATAACCAAATGAAAAGCACAACTTACTGGCACCTTTGGATTATGTATTGCAGCTATGAGCACTTACAATTAAAAACTGTGAGTGATCCAAAATAAGTAACCATCTCATGGTCTTAGAAAAACAAGTCAAACCCAACAGTAGTAGATGTAAAGAAAAAAGAGAGAGAGAAAAAATGATGCGGGAATTATTAAAATTAAAC